GCGGACCAGGCCAGTGCATTACTTAGAATTTCGTATCTCTTCCGTTCAACGATTCGTGGATAAAGCTCGTTTTCCGGTGACGTTTCCGTCCTGCCTCTCTCTTCTTGTCCGCCTTCTGCCATCGAATACACCGGCGAGCTTTCAAAGCGATGGTAGCGACCGATTATCGGCCATCTCTACACGCGAGCATTTCGGATGACCGATCGACCACCCCTCAGGAAATCTCGACCCGGACCTGCCTTCCCTTTTGTCTCCGGATTAGACGGCATTAACTCTCTTCGCATCGCGATACGTACAACCTGTCCGCCTTGCTAAACGCTCCTGTCTAACCAGAAATCCGGAATTGCTGCGGTTAAATAGCTCGCGATTTCTACCGACATCTTTGTTTTCAAAAACATCTACGAATACGATTGAAACTTTCCGATTCGATGCAAGTCCTATTGCCTAGGAATCCGTAGAATATAATTAGCTTGTCTCTAAGTTCTTAACGAGTGTTCGTGTCTCTTCCCATGAGTATTCCGAACCTAGATCCTACATGAGTCCTCAAGTTCTTAGAATGCTAGACGCTAATCTTTCCTTAGATTCTCCCCGAGTTTCCGCAAATCCTTCCTAATATCTTCCGTGTATCAGCGTCGCCCAAAATCATGCCGAATACACCAAAAAAGCGAGAAGAGTATTATACTAATAATTCCATGAAACAGACTGTCGTCAAAATGAGATCCAGCTCGATATCCAAGAGAACTGGCACGAACGTGACAATCATTTAGAAGCAAATTCGACTTTAAAATTCTTAGGAACGCGAGGCGATAAACTCGGCGAGAACGTTAAAGGCGATGAATACAAGCATCGCGACAATAACACATTTTGGTTCACCGCACGGAATAATGTTTCTGCTGTTGCAGCTGAAAAAGCTGGCACGATAGCGTGTTATCGTGACGATGATATCGAAGCTAGAAGTTCTAGCGTCAGTCATTACACGTGGAACGCTGCTTGCCGCGTTTATGATCTTTATCCCGAAGCTCGCGTAAAAAAAAAGGAAACTTTATTTCCGAGCGTTATATCCGAGACAGCTGTCACGCGACGCGTTACCCCACTATTTGTTTGCCAAGTAATTTTTTACGACATCGGCACGTGAACCGAGTGAACTTTTTAACACGAGCCTCACGTGACGACAGATTCTTGGTTATTTAATAACCAACGATAGCATTATTGTTTAATGTTGTGCTTAATCGTATTTGCGATCAAATATTTTGTTGGGACTCATTGTGAAATCTGACAGTGTTAAACCTTCATAGACCAAAATTCTATTATTCAAAGATCTAACTCGACTTAGAATTATCTGTTGAATGAAATAGATGCGATAAGAATTATGTAAGAACAAGAAAAATTAATTGTTGTGAAGCTATAAGGTTGCACAAGGGTACGTCTGACTAGTGATTGAGTTGTTTCACTTATTCATGAGATATCGCATCTTGTAGGGATTATTTGAATATAGTACTTATTGTGACATACCATCGGACAGTGTCTTAACCCTTCATGAATCAAAATCTTATTATTCAAAGATCTAACTCGACTTAGAATTATCTGTTGAACGAAATAGTGTGATAAGGATCATGTAAGAACGAGAAGAATTAAAGCTATACGGTTGCACAAGGGTATGTCTGACTAGTGATTGACTCGTTTCACTTATTCATGAAGTACCGCATCTTACAACGATTATTTGAATATAGCAGTTATAATAAAAAAGTAGGGTTAAGCGAAAGAATTCGTAATAACGAAAATTCTACAGACTCCGAGTTTCTAGCGCTTGCCGTAACAATGAAAACTTCCCGTGTAGAAGATTAAAAAGTGTCCGACTACGGACGGTTTTAATCTACTTAAACGTCAAAACCTAGATTCATCATGGCTACCTTTGTTCGAAGAACGAAATTAGCAACGTTATACTCTGCTACACAGAGAAAACTACATATTTTCATAAAAGCTCCCGGTGCAAAGCGTTAAAAGCTGTCCGACTACGAACGGTCTTAATCCACTTAAACGTCGGAGCCTAGTTTTATCGCAGTCATCTTTGAAGAACAAATTCAATCACGATATTAATTCGTAATTAAACGAATCACACGCTCTCGTACGTAATTGTAACACCCTTATGAAAAATATATCGTTGAACGATTTCGCGGGAATCTCCCATAAAGTTTTCATCGTTGCTGCCTTAAACTTCGTTCTCCGTTCTCCAGTACTTTACTCGGTTCCCAAATGTTCCGTTTGCATTATTTAACGGTCCAAGAAGCTGTTGGTTGAAGTTGAACATGACCGTCCGATGTTTTCGTCGACACAGTCAGTGGCAAGCCATGGAACACAGTGGCAAAGCTGATTAACGCAACATCAAACTTGGATACAATGGACTTAGCGTTAATTACCGACAGCACATGTATATTGCATGCAAGATATGGATGTAACGATGCTGCTGTTGGTGTTTATGCAGGCTGGTTGCGTATGCAAGAGCCGGCGACCCGGAAACCATGGTTGCCGTGGGGCCACATCACTTAAGGAAACAGAGAATCTTATGGGAATACATATACGTTCCCGCGAGCGCTCGATTCAATACTTAATAGCTCTCTGAAACGTTCCATCATATCGTCGTTTAAACGCTATAACTGTTTGCGTCCAGCTTCCCAATGAAATTCTCCTTGAATTATACACCCTCTTTAAGATCAGGATTCTTGATTTATTCCTACCCATAAATTGATTCTCCAGATTTTCCTCAAGGTGCAAATTTTCTTTTCCGAGAATCCTCTTTTTAATTAGTGTCAGGTGTCGTGGCGTAAACTAGACACTATGGACGCGATCGTAAAAGTCACGAGATCGACGGCGCCTCGCGTGAATCTGGCTGGCAGAAAGGAATCACTGTTGCGTGACACGGGATCGTTTTTCCAGTTTCGATTGGTATTCCCGCGGAGAAGGTGTTTGATTAAATGCCCTCCACCACGCGACCGCCGAATCATTCGACCGAATACGCTGATCACTAGACGAACCCGAAAATTACTCGTTCGAAGCACCAGTGATTTTCGTTATCAGCTATCGGTTACCCTGGCCGGTAGTTCCTCTCGATTCCTATGAATTTCACCGTATCGCCGTCCATCGCAGAACCTGCGTGCACCGCGATCAAACCCGGCTTTAATTTGAAGAGCCCCGACATTCTGCTATTTTCATCCGCTCCAATCTGTTCGTGGAAATTGCAATAATTCGAGGAGCAAAATTCACGACCGCTGTCGTACCGACGCATTCATGACCGAACAATAAAAGATAGCGAAAGTTTCAAGCGGTATTAATTACGCAAAGTATCAGGTAGCGAACTCAAATTGAAAACCGAATCGATATCTTGAAATGCAACTGTAGCGTGCCTACTCGTGATAATTTCTTTCCTCCGCAGATTTCAATCAAGACGGTCAACCGGATAACATCAGTTTCATGATAAAACGCGTGAAGGTCCACGGCGAGGGAGCTCTGAACGACCCAACCTACAGATTCACCGGTACATACGGCGTCGAAGAGTTCCTGGAATTGTTCTCCGGTGAGTAGATTTTCCAAAGTCCTTCGCAAACACCTTATGACGCTCCTCGAAACTTGGTCTGTCCATCGTCGGTTTATGCCGCCTCTCAAAACATCGGATTTTGTTTCCGATGAAACCCTTGAACGTGCTCTCCGCCGGCGGGTCGTTAATTAAAACGCTGGCTGGCGTGAAACGCGCAATACGATTCGATGAAGCGGCTTGATACGGCTTTTCGACTTTAATGAAACACGTCTCGAGCGTCACGAATGCTCTTCACTGCGACTTTAAACACTTTGCGCTCCCTCTGCTAGCTGTTAACCCCATACATACATGGGACATGATAAGCGCGGGAAGCTTGGATCACGGAAGTGAAAGCGGACACGCGATGCCGCAAGAAAAACCACTCCTCTTTTCTTTCAGCCCGGATGCTGCTTCTGCAGCCCGTTAATCGTTTCCAGCTTCCTTTTCCTCGATTTCTCTCGCCCCTGGTCAGCCAACCCTCGTAAACGTCGAACGGAACCAGCGACGTTTCCTTGCTTTTGATTTATCGCCGGAATTTATGTTCCCTCGGCAATTTTCATCCGCGTTTTTACCTCTAATCGAAAAACTGCGAAAATCTTTGCCACGGTATGTTAAGCTCGCATCTTTCGAGTCATAAATTTATTGCCACCGTTATTGAACGGGTGCCAGAGAGCTACCTGACGAACTAGTTTATCGAATGTCGATACGTGTGAGCATACTTGTAACAGTAGAAGGTGATCAAACGATATTTCCTTTGGAAAAAGATAGGCGACTGTATCGCAAAGTTTCTGCGGAAAGTTCCAGTGCAGGATTAATTATTACTATGGCGTATCTCCAACGCTAATGAGTCGCAGATCAATGCGGTTGAAGTTCTCGAAGTTCAGGTTATTTGGTTTGTGATATATTCAGTTGCTTTCGAGGTTCCTTCGGACTGATTTAAGCCAGCTCTTTGTCTCAATCTGTCAATAGAGCAGCCGGTCTTAGAGACTGTATTCAGGAATATCTCTATGTCACACTTGCCGTGTAACTTAGAGTCGAGTTTCGCTGCAAAACATTCGCGATTTACTCAAAGACGGTACTTTGGGTCAATTTCGCGTTGAGTTAATAATTATTCCAACAGCGGCCAAACTGCTAACTTCGGGTTCTAAAGAAATTGAAGTTACCTGAAAATTTGAACTTATCTAGAAATTGAAGGATATTCCCGATGAAAAATGTTGGAGGAGTCGTAGAAAGACGATCGTTCATCGACAGAGATAGGAAATAATAATTCTGAAGGATGATCAATGAATATATTTCTGGCGTATAGAGAGGAGAAATTTTATATCGTTCGATTTATCAAATTCACGAGCAAAACTTTAGCGAAGCGAGTCGCAATTTTCTACTCGAATAGTTTCATTCGATTTAGCGAATTGCCTCGTTTGATCTGTCAGCCTGTATTTCTATCGACGGCCGACCCGACGATTCTTCGGCGCGAAATTTATGCCAACGTTCGGCCATTCGTGATCCCCGTCGTTTGTACAATTTGTCAAAACCTAATCGTGTCTATTTTCCTCCATAAATACAATTGTTTCGCGCGTTGTTGTCCTGTCGCGCGAAAATTGAGCTCTGATTCAGAGTACGTTGCTCAATTGTGCCGTATAATTTATAGACGTTATAATTATGTCGCGTTGATGTTGCACATTATCGGCCGTGTTAAAACACGAATCTGAATTATGTCTAGCCTAACGGTCTATGTTTGAAATTCAATTGTCTGCCGATTACTGCGATGTTCATCGAAATGTTTGCATCTAGACCGATAATTAACAAAGGAAATTATGTGTCGTGCTCAATTTTCACGCGTTAGCTGTAATCATTCTTATGCTACGATTATGCGAACAAGACTATAGAAATTCTTTGTATCTGTCGCATGATTGCACTACTTTGACGAGTCTGACGCGCTCGTACTTCGATCGTGATGAATTTTATTTGAATTTTTAATACGCTTCAATTTCAAATTCAAGTCCAATTTGCATAGTCAAATAATAACATATTGACATTTCAAATTTGTTGTCTGTTTATTGCAGCTGTAATTAGTCAGTTGACTGACGCACCTGACAGATAGTACAAGGGGTTAAAAATACTATCACCGCAGTGCATTCGTAAATTTGACGTCCTCCAATTGTACCCGTTATGTATTACTTGGTATTAGCAGGTTTACATTTAATTAGGAAGCAACGTGTTTGATTCGTCAGACCAAATATAGCGCTATTCTACTCCACGGTCTATGAACACATCTGTTCTCCGTGTCTGACTGTAATTTAGACCATTCTACTTGGCTGAGCGCGAGAGGACACGTCGCATTTGTCTAGTTAGAAATACTTGATCTACTTGACTGATTTTAGTATCGCATTTGTCTGATTAACAACCGTGCTGTTCCGCTTAACGCGTTCGCTGTCACAGTCAAAATGGACACGTCTGATACGGACCGCTATAACAATAATTAACGCGTTGATCGCCGGAGCAGTAATAGCAATCCATTACCGTGCACTGTAACATGGATTAATTACACTAATTGTACAATAATTAAAAGCACATATCCTTCTTCTTTGACCTCGTTTCTGATCGTAACGTTCTTTATCAACAGAACGTTATTTGTTGAATTAAAACGAGTTAAATTAAACACCGTTATTTAACTACGAATTATTCCGAGTTACGAAGTTGTACCACACAACACCGTGTGTACAATTTATACCGGGATATTTTCAGAAGTCTGACAATCTATTTTTCCGCGAGTCGTTCTTTAGTAGCCAGGAAACTGGATCGACGAAGATAAGTACAACAGCTCGTTACGAGAGATATCGAATATCGGAATGCGAAGCTCGATAATTCCTGGCGAAGCCCCGGGGCCATTTCATTGGCACCGATCTGACGGTATCATGGTCTGTCCCGTAGCTTTCGTTGCTCTTGTACGAAGCTAAAATTAAAAATTCTGCCGTACTGTTATTGACGAGGAGAAAAAATGTGCGCTTCCGCGGAATATGTTGTAATAAAATAAACGAGAAATTTCCTGCTACGCGTACATTTTTAATGACTTATACACAGTTTCGACAAACGACATTTCGCTGTTTAACAAATGCATGAATATAACGTGTTTATTTTTTATAACCTTAGGATTTGATTACGCATAAAATATTCGTTCAAAAAGTCGCAGCAAAATGATGGAAATATTAACAACGGTCGTATCGAATAGAAGGTATATTTTCCGGCGTAAAACCGCTTGAAATTGCATGACCGCATTGAACATCGCAAAGACGACTGTATTCGAACATTGCACTTTCATCTTTCTAGTATCGATTCCACGGACACAGTGGTCTTTCAGAAAAGAGGTAAAGGGGTAATGGGGATGGTGATCGATTTAATCTCTCGCTTTCGAGGCACTTTTCTTGTACGGTAGCTACCCTGGAAAAACCTATGCACGATTGACCGTTCATTGCTACGAAAAATTTTCGTTAACAAAATTTTTTGCAAACTTCTACAATTATTTTGTTTCGTCATTAATATCGTTGTATCGTTTCCAAAAGCAATTGCAACGTTGTGTGACCATCGTAGGCAAATAACTGTCCTCCGCAGCCCTTTAATTAATTCCATTTTTAATTTCCCCATCGTCGTCGCCAGTATTTTACCTGGCTGTTTCTGTTGTGTCACAGGGGTGTAGGTGTGAGGTTGAATTCCCAGCCGACGCGGCCACACATCGTCCGAGATGTGTTATCCGGTAAAAATAATAAATCAGGCGTCCAGAAATGCTCGGTAATTTAATTTCCGCCAACTTTTACGCTGTGTGGCAACTTTCCTCCGTTGGGGATCAGTGTCCGGCTCCGACCAGTATATGAAACGGGACGCAAAAAAAAAAGAAATAATAAAAAACAAAAAAACTGAAAGCAAGAAAAGTCTGCTAGTCCCGACCATTTCCATCCCCTTTTGTTCACTCTTATTCTCCTCCAGAATTTTTTAGCGACAGTTTAGAAAAAAAAGCACGCACGCGCGCGCGCGCTCGAGCGTCGGCGAAAAAAGAAGACGAGCTATGAATATTCTATGAACGTCGTGCATGAATTTCAATGGAAAGGCTTGTTTACGGACATGTCCAACGTGTTCGTCCTCAATTTTTCAAGGTCCTGCGTGTCGCACGGTCATTCTCCGGGGTGAGAATATTCTTGCGTTGATTAGGCGCCATTGGGTGACGAGCATGATATTCAAATTTCGCCTTTCACACTCAATTTATTCTCGCATCCAACTTAGCATCAATTATAACACCCCTTCACGGGAGGGAAATAAATCAAAACTTTCAAAGACTTTCATAAATTATTGTAGCATAATGGAAGTCTCTTAATACTCTATAAAGTAATATTTATTAAGTTATACGCTTGAAACAATTAGATTTTATTCAGCGAAATAATTTAGCTCTCGGGTGATATTTTCAGAGGAGGATTACGACGCGTTCTGTCTCTCGTACATGTTCACTTATCGCGACTTCGAGAAAGGAACCCTGGGTCTGGCGTGGACCGGGGACTTGAAAAATGCCGGCGGTGTATGCGAGAAAAATGGGGTAAGTTTCGTAATCACATTCGAGTTAATCTTTACGATTTCCAGCGAAACATTGTTCAGCAGCGATATCCAGCCGATTACCTCTTGAGAACTAACGCTATTTCGTCCCGCAGCACTACAGGGGTAGCATGAAATCGCTGAACACCGGTATAATCACCCTCCTGAACTACGGCAAACACGTACCACCGACGGTTTCTCACGTCACCCTTGCACACGAGATCGGTCACAACTTCGGATCCCCTGTAAGTTTACGAGAGCATCCAGCTTGCACGTTGTGCCGACGCGTGTACCGAATACGTTCGAAAAGCTTTACCGTTGCTGATCCGAAGATATCAGATTTAGGATCTGATTGCGCTTTTCTAACGCGTTCTACTTTCGAAATTAAATGGTGGACATTTTATTAAAAGCCGTTGTATTTACGGAAAGGTCAAGAAAAAATAGTATGACTCTATCTTGAACCGAAGTCGAGTGACCCAATTACGTGACTCATCTTCGCAATGTATACATCGAGTCTGAGAAGTTAGAGCTTCACTTATGTATTTAGGAAAGTCGAGAATACTTGAAGGATTAAGTGTTCCTCGACGTCAAACGAAGCGAAACAACCCTGGTACAAAGCTTCCGCTTTATAACTTTTCACTTTTCTACCCTCCCTTGTTTGCCGACAAAGTAACCTGTTATATTATCGAGGTCGTATCTCAACAAGAAAACTCCGATTATTTAATTTACGAAACAACCAACCGCTCTCCTGGGGCGCGACAATTCAAAGACTAAAAGCTTCCCGACATTAGGGTTAATTGCGCCTTCTTTCTCGACCCTGAGCTATGGGAAATGCAAGCATGACTGGAAAAAACTGACATTAACGGTACTCTAAAAATATTTAACGGCGAGAGAGCTTTTGTAAACAGCTATTTGTACAATTTCGTCGTCTTACCGCATCTTTTCGGTAATTAATTTGGGATTGGGGGTTGGTTAATGCTTTTTCTGTTGCTCAGCATGACCCGGACGAGTGTTCGCCCGGAGGGGAAGACGGGAATTTCATAATGTTCGCTAGAGCGACCAGCGGCGACAAACGAAACAACAATCGTTTCAGTCCGTGCAGTCTGCTCTCTATAAATCCCGTTCTAAATGCCAAGGCTCGCTCGTCCAAAGGCTGCTTCGCCGGTGAGTACAGAAGCTTTTGGAATTTTAATCAGTTTGGAACAACGGTTACCCCCGAGTCATCAACCCTGACCTGCACGATCCTCCTTCCGATTGTTTGCACGATCGTTGCCTAATTCGAAAGGATGCTGCTAATTACTCGTTAACACCGTTTCCCCTTACCATTTTCCCGTCGTTCGTTTATTGCTCTCGAAAAAGCAAACTGCGCGCAACAAAATTGTAAAGGTCGATCAAAAAAAGTTGAAAATTGATTTTCTCCAAGTAAAGGAGAAATAACGGCAATTTCGAGCCGCGGGAAATTCGTGACGAAAAAAAGTGGGAAATCGTATCGTTGTTTGGAAATATCGATCGAGCCGGAGTCTAACTGCGACTCGATTGCAATTCTAATAGCATGACCGGCGCAAAACTTGTTTCGGACAACGAGCGTTCGTTCGCACAAGCAAACGAGCAACACGGATCGTGTGCAAACGACAAACAGACGCGACTCGTTAATTGTTAATGACACAAAGATCCTCGTACGAGGCAAAAAGAGTGGATATCGTGCGAAACCCAGCACACTTTTACCGTACAGTTTTGTTTTTAGAAAACTCTTCTAAGAGGATGATCCTCTCGTGCTTCTTTTTAGATTCTGAAACTTGGGTCATTTATAATTCTCGAGTTCTTAAACTTTAGATGGTGGTTGTGTACAATGGTTGATAAGAATTAATCGAAAGAAAAGCGAAATGAAAAATCTGATTTCAGAGCCACAGAATGCCATCTGCGGGAACGGAGTGGTAGAAGATGGCGAAGAGTGTGATTGCGGTTGGGAGGAGGACTGTAACGACCCTTGTTGCCACCCTCAACGACTTCATCATGCCCCTCATGAGATACCATGTCGTCTTGCCGATGGTGCAGTGTGCAGTCCCAGTCAGGTAAGCGACACATTTCCCTCGTTTGCTGACTGTCTAGAAACCCGTCCCTTTGGTACACAGTGATTCGAAACTCGTTCCCTTACGATTTCTTTCTAACTCCAAATATCCCATCAATTTATTTTGTCACCGTTTCCAAACGCATATTGCGATAAGTACTTCTCGCACGAGAAAGAAATACAGCAAACATTCAACTGGGAAATCGAATATATTTTTCGTAATAACGAGCGTAAGGAAAAAAGTAGATTTTTTAGTGGAAAACCACAGTATCAGGAATTTGAAGTTTTTGAAAATCCGTAGGGGTGTGAGAGATGTTTTTGAAGGGAAATTGCGAATGCGAGTCCTCGAAACTTCTTTGAAATTTTAACGGGGACTCATTTTCATTCGGGCAAAAGCTACACGCTGAATATGTTATGAACTCGTATTGAATATCTTGAAAGGGTAATGTCCCACGAAACGGAATGCGAATATGCAATATCGATTCCCCGCAGGGACGTTGGAAATATCATTTCCGAGACAAGCGGTATTTCAATTGCGAACAGAGATCCTCCGCCTTATGCTCCAGCTATTAGGCATTTTATTATCGAACATTAAAATATTAACGTTGAAATTCACCGGCTGTTTGCTTGTTGAAAATTTCAAGCATATGTTCGAAAAGAATTTCTAGTTCGACAAAGGAGAATTCTTGATGGTTCCTAACATCTTTTCTTCGTCCCCTTAATTATCCTCCAGGTAAAACGGCATTTTTACAGCGAGTACAAAGAAGAAAGGAAGCAGTTTTCAAGGTACTTCACTGACTCATTTATCTCAACCTTAACGTACTATTTCCGCGGACATCCGTAAAAAGCCTTATTCTTGCGAAACTATCGGACTCGTCTGTTAATTATCACCGTGGAACATTATTTTCTCCCCGTCCTTTACCGGCGAGCCCTTTGTAACTAGGTGAATAAAATGCTCTCGTTATCGGATCCCCTTACGTGTGACGTCGCCAATTAATAAACGCGACGACGTGTACCGTGCAACAGGGACGTATCGATGTTTATTAATGACGTATTAAAGCAGTAATTAAACGCAAAACGTGCCGTTACACGGTGGCCGGGCCCGTAGCTAGCATCGAGCTCGCGTTAATTCAACCGATGCAGCTCGTTTGTTCCCCAAACGAGAGAACTTGCGGGAGCATGCGTTGGATAATTAAACGGCGAGCCGCACCGATAATGAGTGGAGGAAATCCTCCGCAGTCGAAATCGAGACGGCCATAATTTATGCAGCGGCAAACTTCGACGTTCCTTCGGGAGAATCCCGGCTTGAAATCGAACAGGAAACGGTGAAACTCGTGGCTGGATACTGGTCCCGTGTTCTCGAGACACCGCTGGGGAAACTTCGCCGTGACTGATAATCACCCTCCGAAAGAGGGATCCAAACTTTTCCAAAAATTTGTCACTTTTAAGATTTTCTTCAACCGTGTTCGCGATAAAAGGGCTCCATAAATAATGGATCAAGTTTTCAGCCGGTACTCGATATGACAAATGTTACTTCTTTGCATAAATTTTGATAGCAAACTTGCGAAAATTTTCATCTGCCGATAATACAATAAGCGTGAAAATCCAGAAGAAAAATAAAGATCGTGAAAATTCATTGCTGAAGAGAAAAGGAAAAGCGTGTTGAAGTGAAACGCCGACAACTTTGTTCTACCAATAGAATCGATGCTAAACGACCTTGAGAACAACGCGTTCTCCACAATCACCGTGAAAACGAGGGCACCTTACCCAGACGATGTTATATCCGCTCCTTCGGTAGCTCGTATTACGAAGTACAATCTCGTACATGTACGATTCTTCGCGCTCGAAGAAACTTCCTGGTCACGGACGACCATGGGAGCTCTCGAAGTCGAGAATTAGTTTGCAGGTATGTTCGGAGCCAGATACTCTCCCTAGGTTACTTGGGATACCCTGTTATTGTCAACGAGGTGCGAACACCATCGTGGATGAGTTTAATTTTCAATGTTACCCGTCCTCGTCGGAGCTCTCGCAGTATCCCGGAAAATGGGACTAATTAATCAAACTGGAATCGTCAGCTAGGGAACTCCGCGCAATTAAAAACAATTAATTTCGTTACTGCAGCTTTCGTTTAAATTCGGTTCCATTCGAATCAATATTTTCAAATAGCGTAAAAAATATTCAAACTTTCGACAAGTAGTGGTAATGAACGTAATTTACAGCGTTGTAAAAAATTGCAGCGTATTTAGCAAAAGATGAATGGTATTTTATTCAGCCGGTGAACGTTCAAAGCCCTCGATCCGCAACGAGCGTGTTAAGCGGAATTTCTCAATCGTAGAAAAGAATTACACCGGTATTGTTCGAGTGCGCTATTGCGATCGCTGCGTTTCCTCGTGTTCTTGCACGGCGGTGCTTCTAATTATGCGCGGGGGAACTGAATGGACTGTAATTTTAAAATGCTTCGTTTCGACCTATTCAACAGCGCCCGGTATTACGCGCAATTTCGACATTACCTTCAAAGAAACGGCCTCGAAATTTCTCGCCCAGTTTATCGCGGCTAATTGCTCGTTCACAAAGTGTCGTCGTTCTTTATACTTCACTTGTTAATTGGGAAAGATAAGTTAACTCGAATGAAAGAGCTCAGAGACATGTATTCGGGCTTCTACTTCTCGCTAACACTTTGTTTTATGTTTCGACAGCTATTTACGTGTTTTCAAAGGAAATTTTCAAACGAAAGCATCTTTCGAGTGCTTCCACAGAAATGTACCACGCATGAATTTGTACATTTGACATTTTACTGCTTGAATAAATCTACTTAAATTTCAATTTAGAGTACTTAGTGTAAATAATAAATTAGGAAGGTTAATTTTAAGGTTAGGTTAAAAAGAAAACAGTGACCGAATAATTTTTATATTTTGAGCTGTATAAAATATGCTATGTATAATTAATATAAAAAAAAAAACAGTGACCCGTTGCGAATAGTTTTTATATGTTCAGCTGTAGAAAATATGGTATGTATAGATATAATTAATATATAGGTCCTTCGGGAACGGATGAAAAGCAGCGCCCTCGAGAGCTTTTCCGAACGAGATCAGTGCTTTTTATCATAGCGAGCGACTGACTGGCTTTCCGTCGAATAAAGGAAAACCACGGGCGCGAAACGACGATCACGATCGAAAGCTCCCTCATGGGGGATGCGAATGGTGCAAAAAAGGGGATAAAAGCGCTCTCGGAAAGAAAAGTGAGAAGACTGCTCGGCGGAAGTCGATGCATTAGGTGCATCGCGCGAGAAAAGTGCAGGATGCAAAACACGCGAATTCCTTGGAACGCGAAGACGTAGACGAATGGCGTAGCTCTTCGAGAATCGAGGCGAGAGCAATAAACAAGCGGTTAAGGTTGAAGAAAGAAAACGGCGAGGGACGAGGAAACGAGCAAGCTGTGGACATTAAGCAGCAGCGAGGGGAGGAAACAAGGGTGTCGAGGTGAAAAAAAGGAGCGAGAGAAAGAGAGAGATAACGAAGAAGGTCCAGGGTCGAGACTGATGAGGGAAAGAGCGAGTCGAGGGGTAGTAAAGTAGAAACGGAAGACGAGAACTGCTGGCGAGAAAAGAAAACCGGCGACGGTACAAGAAGAAAGATAAATAGTCGAAAGCAAAGGAAAATAAGGGGATACTTGGAACAGCAGGGTGACGACATGTTTGCGGAGATTCGGAACTTGTGACCCCTCGGCTGTATATTATTTTCAGAACACTTTCGAGAACTTCGAATTAAATTTCTCCGTTGAACCGATAACAAAATCACGATGGAAATCCTACTTTATCAACTATCTCTGTGTTTATCGCAGGATAACATTATTGCAATTTGAACATTCAAATATTTCGAAAACTTCGGAGATATTTTTGTTATGTAGAAATATGGTATCGCGTTTAAATAACCGTATCCGTGGTAAGCAGACCAAAATATTTCCACCGGCCAGAACGAATTCCATCATGATTCAAATAATTCTGCGCTTCGTTAACCGCGGCATTTCGCTACATCCGCAGCGGCAATTACTCGAGTCCGGACTTCCGTGATTTCCCGCCATTGTCGTGGCCTCCTTCGAGCAGCAGGAATTCTTCCAATTGAAGTATTGAAATTCGATAAATTGATTCGTTTCAAGCCGTGTTATTACGTTCTAGGGTGCTAAGGGAGACGGGGTTTTCAATTCTGCCATAAGGCTCGAGGAAAAAGGAAGAGAGACCCAGGGAGAGAGAGGGTTGTTCGGTTTCCGTTATTACGTGCTCGCCCTGCAAACCTGTGTCGGTCAAAGCGTGTGTGCCAAGTAAATTCTGACTTTACATCGACAATAGATGCCTCCGTTTCCGCCTTCCTGTCTCAAAGAACTCGCCCAGATGTTGGAGGAGAATTCGAGCGAGCTACGAACGCTTTTTCAAGTTCGTAGAAAAAATTGCTGCGCCGTTTATTGCATCCTCGCACACTTTTACCTGCTATTTGCACCTCCAGCTTAGGTATATCGAATTAGCAAACAGAACAACAGCTGAAAAGGAGTCATTGCTAAAGACTCTATACAAGAAAATAATGTATCTCACGTTGGACATTTCCAAAGTCACAAATTTTCCATTTCCCACAATCTACCATTTTTTAAATGCCAATCCACGTTTCTAAATCTTCCCCAACTATTTCGAAAGGTATTCAAGATCCAAAAGTAGTTTCTCCAATTTCCTAAATAGCCAAATTCGTAAATATTTGAAAATGGCCGTGGTTAACACACTGGCAGTTGACCATGCTGAATAAAACATGGGAGGTATTATTAAAGCTGTGGAAGTAGGTCCGCTAGCAAAAGTTCTGGCTGCGTCAATAGTCCATCACGCTATTGGCGTATAAATTTGTACGAGAACTTCAATTGCAAGGCAAACTCGATCTTTACGGAATTACAAAGCAGTAAAGTTATATCTAACAATACGTCTTATCGTGTCCAATTAAGAATACCTAGGATAGACGCTTGCCTAAATAAAGGGCAAGAGTCTTGACGTCGGTGTCGTGACTCGAGCACTAAAGCAACCCTAAATCTTCTTGGAAATTGCAGCTTTATTGGAGCCGTTCAGAGATAAGTCTTATCCTCGTCTGATTGAAACCGTTAATCGTTCAGTCGGAATAAAGCAGGCGTCTTGACTGCGAATAAAACGAGACGCTGTTAACTCTTACGGAGTGAATCGAAAATTCTTTGAAAATGGAGCTTCGAATAACAGAAATAATCTCCTCGGGGAGTATAAATCTTAAAATTGATCTCTTCCGAAAGCAATTTGTTTACAATTCTGCACAAACAATTTATATAATACTTGTACCATAAAAAATTCTCTTCAAGCTACAAAGGTATTCAACCAAAGGTAGTTTACAATTAAAAAATATTGAAAGATCGGAATATATTCCTTGCAGAATTTAACGACTGCAAAATTCTGTTTCTTCGGAAACTTTCGCATCTTGATTTTCTTCGTAGCATCCATATTCTATAGCAGAATGAATGTAACCGTTTCGAGGGACCAGATTTTCAACTCGCCGGTAATATTCTCATAGACCGAATGCACTTTTCCATCGGGTTATTTATTTTCTGATATATGCACAGACCGAGAATACATCCACTTGCATCAGCATCGAATTTCTTCCGCTGCTTTCCGTGCCAATTCGTTGAACCGGAAAACGTATCAGACCGGCTGAACCTTATTCTTCCAAGCATCGACTGCTGGTCCCACGAGTATCCTTCTATCGGATATTCAAACCATGGATCGTTCTTATCTGCACGTTAAGCGAAAATCATTCGACTCGCTTAAACGTTCCCGTTCCTCTCTCGTCGCGTCTAAACTCGTTGGATTTAATTAAAGCGAAAATTGTCGCCCGAGAATCGTTTCCTCTCTTTCGCGAAACAAGACGCCTCGAACAAATCGTCTGACATCGATCTACTCGTCAAACACGAGCTACAAATTCTACTAAATCGATGCAATCGATATCTGACAGCTATTTCAATCTTCTTTACCAGGAGTTACTAGGTTCTTAATTGAGGTACAAATCGGACGATGAACATGTTTCTATAAAATGGATACTTCAGAATTTAAGACCTCAGAAAAAGTCTTAGAAGAAATCCGAAGGAACCTGAGTAAAATCCGTATGGAGAGTGTGGGGGAAAGTTAGGGAGAGCTTAGGGAAATCTAACCTAAGTGTCAGCAGTGCAAATTCGCGACGGCAAAAGTCTGCAGAGGATCTAAGCTAGCGATTGAGGCGTAATTGCAACTCGCAAGCAGCAATTTGCCAAAAGGAGGATTCGTGTTTCGTAGAATGGTTGCCAGAAACGTGAATCGTAGTCTCGAGCGCGGACAACGCTCCTTAATACACGGTTTAATCGCCAAATGCTTTCGTGTCGGCGTAAAACCTTGACTGAGCTTATATTTACTTTGTTTTCTTGGTTCGTGCTTGCCATTTTATTGTTTGCTCGAGTATTTATCGTTCGAGATGACCCGGAGTTGATCTGTCTCCTCGAGAAGTACACGAGTAACGCAAAGGAAAACAGCTGCAAAGTTTTTCGGGCGTGAAATCGCTGTTTCGCGGTTTGTTTGTGCCCTCGTCTACCCACGTACTTTTTCGACGTATTTGCACGGTTCACTTCAGCAGAACTTGGAAACTTGCCTTCGTTGTTCAAAGTGTTTCATAAATATTCATTAACGCGTACGCTCCCTCGAAAGTGGATTTTCAATGGAAAAAACAATACATTAAACGAGTAGGTTTATAAATTTGAATAAAAACTCGACGAGAACGTATGACTGGATAAAAATAGAGAGGAAAAACAACGAAGATCTCTAAACATCGTCAACCGCATTCCGTGTCCTACATACTCCAGAAAAAGATCACGAAAAACATTTGGCGCAAAGTATTTAAAGGAAAATATTGCCCTAGAAAAATAGAACAGAAGGGTAAGTAAAACCGACCACCAAAATTTCGCGCACGAAGAAAAAAACGGGACGCAAGGAATCTTGATAGCGTTCCTCTCTTCCCAACAATGTTTCCCATTGTTCCGCCTGCAAAATCGGCCCGAAAAATCGGAATATTGTGCACGGTCACAATACCTTACAGAGCAACGCGAACCGCGTTCCAACCGCGCATTATCATCGACACATGGCGAAATAAATTAACGAGCAACAAAAGCACGACCCATATCCTCCCCTGCTGAATTCGCCGCGGTTAAAAAACAACCATACGTTGCACCATTGCGACCGAAGGACCGTGAATCATGAATTTTAGCCGAAGGTCAGCAATTACAAAATGGCTATCGACAGTTGGAAAATTGCTCCCTCGTATAATAAAATCTTTTTTCGAGAATTCTGCATATTTGGGAAGAAAACGAGGCTAAAGAGATATAGACTGGATAGGAGGGTTGACAGGAACAGGAAGATTAGGGAGGGTCTAGAGGGCTTAAGATGACGTAAATCTGGAGGACAGCTCGAATGTGAGTGGTGCTTGTAAACAAGGGACGAAGACTTACAGCGAATCGCTACCGTATTATGTTCAGATAAATTATTTGAAGTGTATGAATTTCAATAGACTTATATCGGAATCTTTGATAAAAAGAATCCTTTGAAACACGAGACTCAAACATATCTCTATCGTATATCAAGCCGGGTAAAAAATGACCAAATGCATGTATGTATACACGTTTCGTCTGGACAGAGTGTACGGGCGTTATATACAGCATTCTCTACGGACGCTGTTGCTCATCCGGCGTTGTTGCAGGGCCCTTGCTGCACATCCGGTTGCACTCTGCGCAACGGCGATAAGTGCAGGGACGACAACGGGTGCAGGGACGCGAGCTTTTGCGACGGTCGTGGTCCCCAGTGCCCGCCATCCATCAACAAACCTAACAAGACCATATGCAACGAGGAGTTCGTCTGTTACATGGGGGTGAGTGTGTACCTAACGTTTTCCCCGCTTTCATTCTGTTCCAACCCCTTCTCGACCGAGTTCTATATCGCGTCTCACCTATTCATGCAACATCGTTGATGTACGAGCTGAAAGTTTACAAAAGTGGTCAATCTATTTGCATGTCAGATTCCGCGAGAAAGCTGTCCGCGTGGATCTTTATGATTCGGTGAAATGTTCTTTAATGTTAATGAAAAACAATCGTTTCTGTTACATTGTCGAGTAGATTTCGACGGATATAGTTCGGATCGAAAGATGTCTACGTATGTTGAATCTACGAGACACGCGAAAGAAAAAGGGAGCTTATAGGAAAATTCCACGCGTATATTTCGAAATCGCTCCTCGAGGATACTTTCCCGAACCGTGAGCTCTTCAGACGCGTGTAGAGCTTTATACGCTCCCGAAGCTCTTCTAAACTTTCCTCGTCGTTCGATTACGACTAATGGAAAATTCAATACGCGATTTGTTACAGAAACGATAGCTCGGGAAATTTGAAAGCCAAAACCGCTCTATTTTCAGGCAAATTTCTCGTAAATTCATTTCAAAAGGGTAACAGGGTTTCACGCGTATGCTCCATTATGGCTTCCGCCAGGATCGCAGGAGCGATAAGCAGACTGCAATGAATAAGTAACCAGTTTCGCGGCAGAGCCGTAAATTATCGTCAAACGTGATACGAGAATCGGGAAGACTAACTATTATGTGAAATACCTTGATAAACAAACGTTTAACAGAAATTATTAATATATTGAAACGCTAAAAAAAGGAACATTTGCACCTTCGAAACAAAAGATGACCGACAAAGGAAACGGATTGGCAAGCAAGGTTATCTCCTTCCACTTGCAAGTAGAAACATTCGATTACGGTCGGCCGAGCGGAAAACGCGTTTCAACCACACACGCGCAACAGTTCGACTCTGTTATGCACCACTGGCCAGGAATCGATACTCCCGAAATAGTGGCTTTCTAATCTGCAAGTACAATAACACGAAAGGTGGGGTCGAGACGGGGCAGTCAGATGCCGTTCGCAATTTGCTTCCGTTTCCGCGCCGTCGGCCAACTATCAAACAACGACGTCGTGTTCTTAACGCGTCGCCACACAATCGTGGACGCTCCAGAACGTCATTTGCTGGATCGTTGCTTTCTACCCCACAGATGCTGATTTGTTTTGAAAGTTGCGAAGAAAATTTACTAAGACCGAGGAAGTTTAACATTAAAATATTAACCTCTTCCTATGCCATTTATTTAACAGTCAAGACTGACTATAAAGGGCTATAACATTAAAACGAGCAAAGAAAATTAAAATGTGAGCCTTTTATATTCAGGGATCCTTGATAATGCAACTTATAGTTGGAGCTAACTTTCAAGTTGAAGAATGTTCAAGGTTTGTCACATTTGAAGGGGTTAACATTCCTGTCTAACATTAAAATAAATTTCGCTTAATTCAAGAATGTTTGCACATTCGTGCAAGGATATCTTTGATGATGCTGGAAATTACCTGGTATTTAGAGGTTTACACACGTTGGCTGACACTTTATCAGCTTTCGCATTGCTTGCAGGAATGCACCGGCAGCATTTGCCTGGCTTACGGCTTGGAATCCTGTCAGTGCATCGCTGGGCCCGAAGATCCTCCCACCAAAAGCTGCGAGCTGTGTTGTAAATTACCAGGAGAGGATCAACCTTGCCTGTGAGAAACGATCATATGCTTTCCGATCGCGATTTCCGAGGAAATCCTCCAAAAGACAGTAGTTATTCGAAACATACCCAAAATTCATCGATTCGTAAACGAAAAGAATAATAGATCTTCCAAACTTCCCAACAGTTCGATAAGTAGAGCATAGTCAATAATACAAAGAGTCAAGGTGTAGAGATGTCGATAATTCGAACGATCTATAATTCACACATTGTGAATCGAGACTTTGAACTGTAATATTAACAGAAATCGTAAAAATAGACACGTCAGCAGACTGCAGATGATGAAATGAATAAAGTATTCGACTGCAAATGTCGCTTCGTTCCGCGGTACTGACATTTCTCAATTTTTCACGAATTCGTACAATATTCGTTTTCATTAAGCTCTATTACGCTAAAAGCTCTTTCGGATCATATCATCGACCTAAAATCCATCTCTCCACTTGAAAACTGCGCGCGGACATTTGTCAAAATATGAAGCACATTATTCGCTTGTAATGCGAATAAGTGGCCTGATCCTCTAACCTAACGCGTTCGGGTTAAATTGTAAAGTGCCGAGAACACGAAATTGTTATCTCGAATTCAGGGACGGTTCGAATAAACCAAACATCATTGGAAACGCGTCTGTTTGCAGATCATCGTTCGCATGGAATTCAGCGCCCTACGATATTCCTGACATGCTGTCGAAACCAGGCACGCCGTGCAACGATTACAATGGCTATTGCGACGTCTTCCAGAGATGTCGAGAGGTAATATTCTAATATCCGAGCACTGAAATTCGCGTTGGCGACGCGATACGAATTTGATATTCCACCGACGTCCCCATTGTATTCTTTATTTATCAAACGCCGTATCGTTTCTGACTTATCCTGTTTATCTTGCATTTGAAAAATGAGCTAATGATGCAGTAAATCTGGGGATATCAGATTTTGAGTCTATAAAAGGATGATTAAAAGAGAGGAATAACTTCAGGTGGATCCCAGTGGGCCTTTGGCAACTTTGAGACGGCTTCTTCTATCGGATGCGAGCTTAGCAAGCTTTCAGCGGTGGTTGGTCGATCGCTGGTACATCCTCGCCTTCATCGTTTTCATGTTACTCCTAACTCTGGTAAGTGAAAATGTCACGAATATAAAAGCTCCTCGAAACACGATTCAAACTTCTGTTCCGTACATAAAAAGTATTTAAAGCCTGACCCCGTTTCCGGAATTGTTTTGAACAGTTTGTAGACAAACTTTTTAAGTAAACATCTCTCAAAATAGAGCCACGCCGTTTTCGCAACAAAACAAATAGGTTTTTCGCCTGCGTTTGAAACATTTCTGACGGATCGAAAGCACCTTTTGTATTGTACATCGGATGTAGTTGGAACGGTCGGCGCAAAAAATACCGTTGACGTATCGAATATCCATGTAAACCCAATTACCTGACTTGTCAATTAAAAATTGTGCAAACGCATAAAAGACACGCCGGTAACAATCGCGTGTTTCGGCTGTCGGCGCAAAAAAAAGAAGCGTTGCAAACATCGCGCGAAAAAATACTCCATTAGAGCACACGACTTTTTGTCCCGTTGTTAAATACCTCGAAATATTTTGCGGACCTATTGTATTTGTCCACGGATCGGTTTAAATTCGATGCGAACCGGCTCCGCTATTTTTATCGGGGAATTCGTTTTCGTAATATGAATATTGGAATATGCAAATACTTGCATCAATGTAATTTATCTTACAATCGGATTACTGATAAATTTGCAAATTGATACGCGAGTACGAACCGAATAAAGGTACAAGGTAGGTTTTAAAAAATACCGATTCATCTAATCGCGTCTATTCCCGCTAAGATGCAATCGTATTAGGGAATTGCAATTAAGTGCAGGATGGTGTCGCGCGAGATATATTGTAAATTCGATTCCACGCAAGTTGGCGGCGTTGCAGCACGGAAGTTGGCCAAAGCAGCCGGAAATTCATCCGGAGATAGGATTAGAGTGGTGACAGTAACACGACGCTGCCAGAAATTATATTATAAACCGTATCCCCCTGGTAGCTGCACGGAAGATAATGTAACCATAAAACTTTTCCTCGAGGAAACGCTGTTAAGACGAGACGTTTCTTGCAAAACAACTAAAATACTAAACAAGTGAAAATGATTTCCCCAACAACACCCTTCAGATCATTTCCAGTTGTTTAATTAAATTTATCTGTTGCAGATGTTCGTAGTGCGTCTGGTGAGGAAACGACGCAATCGCTCGAAGATCACGATGGAGAGTCAGCCAAAAGCAGCCAACGAGGAGTCGAAGGAGTCCGTGCGGAAACTACGGTCCATGGACATTTCGCGTCTGAAAAGAAGACTGCTCGAGACGATGAAGAGTATCGCGTCTCCCAGACGAAAGAAGGAGGGCTACTCGCGAGACTCGTTGTTTTCCCGAATATCTCGGCTGATGGTCAACGATTCTGGCGTCCCCTCCGAGAAGCAGTCGAACGAAGGCGAAAAGCTGTACAAAAACAACGAACAAACGAAGCACGAGGATGCCTCGAAGCAAAAAGTCGAAACGAGCCTAGTCTCGAGGAAAGAAACGAACTGGAGACGATTTTCCTTGCCGTGGGTCGGTGATCGTGGTTCGAGTTCCACCACGGGGCGAAGAAAATTGGACAACGATAAATCGACGAGTGCACAGACTTGGAAGAAAAGTGTGCAGGTTGATAAACTGTGCAAGACGTCGAAGACGGTCGTAAATCCGCGCAGAAAGGGGGACAGATATCAAACGGAGCCTTTGGTGGTACCTGACACTCCGGACACTCCTGGTGATATTTTAGAAACGAGGATTCAGACGTCCGATTTGACTGTGCTGCTAGATGACAGTTAGTTTGGGAGGAAATCCTTGTTGTGGACAATGCTGGGACATTTTTCAAAGTTTTGAGGTCATATTTTTTTGGAAGATGCGTAGGCTTCTTTGAGTTAATGCAGGAGGACCTAGGGCAATTAGGGAGACGGCCTAAAGGGACACTTGAGAGATCTAAGAATTCAGAATCGAAAACTATGTAGGCTCTTTAAAGAATGTAGAGGGAGGCTTTCCAAATGTAATCTAGGCACTCCTATTAACTGGCAGAAGCTTACGACACCCCAATACTCTTAGAATTTTAAGATTTTCGAAACTCAAAGTTCAAAATTCAAAATTCAAGGATCCTTTAAAAGCTTGCTTAAAATAAACACTAATTGTTTCACCAATCTCCAACCTACAAACTAAAGTTAACACCATTATAGAACGCATATGGGCTTGAATCAACCGTGAAATGTTCTTTAAGTTTGAATGAACGATAATTGAAGTAATATAAAGAAAACAGAGTGACACCCGACAAAAGCTTAAACTTTGATTTGAACACTCGAGAAGCTCCACGGTATAGCTTATGAGATAAAACGGACAAGTTTGAGGAGAAATCCGTATGTAAATATTGTACAGAGTCTCGTACCGATATCGTGGTAGATTAGTTTCTAGAATAAGGATGAGAAGTTCGCGTAGGGCCGGAAGTTTGCGTAATTGGAATGGATTCTTGTAATTTGTGTAGTTCAAACAGCTCTTCGCGTAGAAGCGGACCAAAAGTAGACGAAAACGAAAATTATCGTCCAACGCTGAAATCGTAGACGTGTATATAAACGATCTACTGTTATTGTAAAATAAAACACACGTTATCATTCGTTTACTACCATCCAACCAACTGATGTGTTTCACCCTAACCTCCCTTCTTCGTTTACGATTAATTCAAATAATGATTAATTGCTGTGTTAAGAAAATACGTTGAAATATTTGTTATACGATGATGTTGGTTGCATTCAGATTCTACGATTTGTTTCAGGAGTATTTTACATTAAATTTTGTTCATTGTTTTCGCCATGTTGCAATGCTTGTATGATCGAGAAAGTTAAATACAAATCGCTGTTGTATCTTCTTATAAATGAATGTGTAATAACGAAAGGTAAGTTTATATATAAATTGATTTAGAAAATGTAATATATCCGAAAATGTAATAAAACGAAATTTTGGATAATGAAATGCGAACAATAATAACCAACCTTACCAACCAGTCAGATGTGGTAAATCTCAGCATTATCGACAGGAATTTCTTATTGTCCTACTGCTGGTGAAGTTGAAAATGTCCAACCCTAAAAAGATATTTTATCGATTACATGTATACATAATTATTTTAAATAAAGATAACATAGAATTATTGTACCGAGAAACAAAGTTTGAATATGTATTAGAAAAGTAACAAATTCAACTTGCAAAAAACTTGTATTCTGGAATACAAAATAAAGTGAAAAGTTATAAATTGTAAGTGCATTGATTACAAAAGTAGAATTTGTAATGTTATACATTAATGTGTAAAGAGATAATAAAATAACATTGCAGAAGGCCTCGTTTTTATCACTAAACGGTATAGTATTCTTAATGACTAAACGCTGTGTACTAAAATGAAACGCCGTATCGGTTCATTACGAAGAAATAAATTTTATTGCTCACAAACTATATGTTATAATTACTTTTATCTTATTTTTATTTTATTTTATGCTGACTTATATTAAATTAATAGCGTATTAATGGCTAAAAATCGATAATTATTGCCTTTTTCGGAAAATTGACTAAGTGGCGCCATCTCTCCGGCGAACAGGGTGAACTACACACTTTTGAAACTGCACTTTCATTAGTTCCTATATTCTATCGCTAGATGGCGCTACATGTATCATTTCGCAATAAATTAATATCGATTTTATAAATTAATAGGCTATATATTTATCATATATTCATTAATATTGATTCTATACCGCTTGCAATATATTCCATCGATTCCAAGATGCGGATTACGTAGACAGGGACAGACTAATCTAAATCGGGCACTGCCGAAAAGAGCGCCAAAATCCTTCCTCACCCCAACGGATATACGCAAATGCGGATTATGTATTCAGTCCAATTCAAACTATACTGCATCTCGATGATATAGAGAATGACATAAAGTTGGCAAAGAATTTTCTTTCGAGTCGCCAACAACCATTCTCCCAGATATCTTCTTCCGCAAAAGAGTTCATTTCCAAAATTTAGTCAACATCTGACCCTGCCGCTTTTTCGAACTTTCGCCCTGAACTGTACACGAAAGGAACTAATAAACCTAACTTGCCTTTAATTTTTTATCGTTTTCGTTTACATGTAGCTACACACCGTGTGGTGGCGGTACTTGTACTCTTGTTTCGATGGAAATTGACCTTAATGTGATTTGTGACACCTCGCGGCTAACGTTGGCGGAGATGAAATATTTTCCGGTAAAGTAGTTTAGTGATTGTTTGAGACGTAAAATAAGGAGAAAGTACGTAGAAAATGTAATATTCTATCGGTTAAATGTGAATCAATTACGCTAATACGTAATCTGAATCACTGCTCCGAACGCGATGAACTTCCGCGAGTCGTGCCCGTAATCGTGTACATTAGATATAGCAACATACATTGCAATAGGGCGCCTCGAAGTGTATTAAAACATTGATCGGTGCTGTGAAAGTTATGAACAGTAAAGAAATCAAAGTATTTATTCTATTATGTAGTCGATACATTATACTCAGCAGTAGTTTAAGTTCGCATTGCTAACCAATGACTGAGTTACACGCACACACAAGGTTAAAGTGCGTTAATTTATAGTTATTGCTTTCCTCTGGGGCATTAGTAGATAAAAATGAGTGGAGATATGTTTGAGGGAAAAGATTACCCAACCCAGTGGGCTTTAAATCCTTCCGCTTACCAAAATATGAGTAACGATCAAGGTAAATGGTGTAAGAAGTATGCGGTATATATGCGATTCATTTCTTACCATTGTTATACAATATTTAATCATCATACAAAACTATTCGTCGCTATTCAGTTGATTGGGCAGCATTAGCTCAGCAGTGGATCAAAATGAAAGAAACTGTAGTGCCACCAGCACCACCTCCGCCTAATATTAATCCAGTGTGTACCGGGACTGATGGAAGTGGAGAAGCTCCTATGGATATGGACACGAAAGAAGATGATGTACCACCAGCACCGCCTGCACCTACAATTAGTGGATCAGGTAACAAAAAGATATTTAATAATGTAGCATGATCATGTGATTATAAGGAGTATCTTAATGTCTTATGATATTTGAAATTTTGCAGAAAATATCTAACTCCTAATATGCATCTCGTATGTATAATATATATTTATGAAACTTCTTTTTAATACGTATTCTTTAATGTCAGCTGAGGCTTGGAGTCAGTGGAATCAGTGGGGCCATTGGAATACCTCAGGTTCTGGTGCAGGTACTTGGGAATGGACTGGTGTACCTCCCCCTGGTGTTTCTATAGGTTCTGATGGGAAACCTATGGGAATTCCTACTGTACCTGTTATTCCACCTGCTCCAACTATATCTACAACATCAGAATTTAGCGTGCCACCTCCAACAGCACCATCGTTGTATTCTTATAATTCAGTACCTCCAACACAACCTTATAGTCAGGTTAAAATTGTATTTCTAATATAATATAGACCTCTCCAATTCCTGTACCTCGCAATTTGCTTAGGCTTAGTAAAAAAAGAGTAATCAAAATTGTATTTCGAGCGGCCCTAAATCCGTCACTTCATTATTATTTTTCCACATAAATATTAAGCTAGAAGGCGCTCGGATTCGAAGTTACAGATAATGAGCGTTTCATATTTAGGTGTCTAGTTATTGGTCTGGAGAACCACCTACTGCAATACCTCCTCAGCCACCCCCTTTCATGAAAGGAGTTAGGCATACAAACAGAACGCCACACATGAGACCTATAGACGCCGTACGGTGTCGAGAAGACAGGGAAAAAACCCCTGAAGAAGATACAACTACCACTATAGGTTAATCCCAGATCATTTATTAACACCCACTCCTCACAGTCATGATCAAAATCTTCACGAGACAAGAATACTTTTATTTTAGACGCGGCGAAACGTAGGCAATTACCAGCTTGGATTAGGGAAGGTTTAGAAAAGATGGAGAAAGAAAAACAAAAAGCTGTGGAAAGGGAAAGACAGGAAGTTCTAAGGAAACAGGAGTTGGAAGCTCGAAAGCAAGCCGAAGACGAGGCTCGGGCAGTTTTAAATCCTTCTAAGAGCAAATTCGTAGGTGTCTGAACGTACCTCGAACAGTCTACCATAACATATTTCCGTAATACCTTCGATGCTTTATATACAGGACTCTGATTCCGAAAAGGAAACAGAGCAGGATGTCGACGAGACAGTACGTAGTCAGGTCTCGGAGAAAAATTTCGAACGAACTCCAGATATTCTCCTCCGACCACGGAAATCGCGATTTCGAGATGCAGATTCACCGGATGCTCACACGCACACAGACAGAAGTCCAACCACTTCCAACGCGACTGTGCCTGTTCCGAAGCGAACGAGAGAGGAGATGCTGCAAGATGTGGTGAGTATTGTCGAGATGTGTAGCTTATTTGGTAATCTTTTTGGTTTTGAGCGACTGTATCAGGAAACGTTGTCCACCAGATGTTGAAGGTGCGGAGATCGCTCACAGAAATTCTTCTGGAGGTAACGAACGAAGAAATTGGTTCTATATGCAGAGAGGTTTGGAGCCGCGCACGTGCCAAAGGTACCCCAGATACACACGATACAACTAACAAATTGATATTTCATACTTTCGCTCACCAGTGCACAGAATCTGATTCACATGAGTCTCGTGCAGTGTTGCGGTGAATTTTATTTGCCCATTTGTGTAATATAAGCTTTTAAATATTAAACAGAGATTACTCAATTTATAGAGTTACTTATTCGATGATTTTCAGGATATCCTACTTTATTTTTTCAGGACTTACATACACATACTATAAGTAATACTTTTCTCTATTTTGTTGTTTTTTACATAGAATTACTTATCGCCCAATCGTTTCGTGACAGTAAGAAATTTTCAAAAATGTGGTGTAGCATCGCGTGAAACGATAAATTGAAGTTCAATGAAGTTATATCGATAAGACTCGATGTAACTGAGGCAATAAAAATTTGAGAATACTTTCGCTCCAATTTCGTCCATTAGAGCTGCAAATTTCTCTCAATTGTCTTCAGATTCTATTCAATCTCATTTCTCTAGTTTTTCTTTCATTATCGACACGTATATCGTAGGTATAGAAACATGTCATGCCTGTGATTCTTATACAATTACGTCAATTCTTCATTGACAATGAAGATATAAATTAATTGCTAATGTGTTTTTTTCTACTACTAACATCTAGACTAAAGCAGTTTCAGTTGATTGTAATCTATATGGATTCATAGACGATTAAGGTGGTTTATGAGGATTGAAAGCAGGATCGACTCTCCTTATGTGTATCGATGATCAGTACCATTTAATTTTGGGGGGTATCCTGACGATAGCTTTTAGCCATTGGGTACTAAATGCGTGTGTATTGTAAGTCCCTGCAGGAGAGACCCCCGTCGCATCCCTCAACAACATGGCCCCTCTTGCTCAGATCACTCGTAAGCTTGGTAAGTCACTAACGCCTTTATAATCTTCAACGCACGGTCATCCTAGGAACCGGTCATGTACATGCAGTCACTTGTAAAATGCGTCCGTGTGCATTTTGTACCGCTCGCTCTCTGTAGCCATGCTCGCTTAATAAGTTCTCGTGAAACGAAGAATGTCTTTCAGGACATTTTTCAATCGTAGCGGCAGTCTGTTTAGTGGTCGAGCGTACGTCTCCTTACTTTGATGAAAAACAAGAACGCCGGAACCCGTAATACGTATAATAAACTATTCGTTTCGTGTAGGTCTGGGCATCTATGGCGACAGCAACAGCGAGTCTGAGGAGGAGCAGAGTGAACACGTCCAGGCTCAGAACAACGACAGCGACGATGAGCTGATAGTATGTATCTCTTTCTTATCGATGAAAGATATAAATTTGGGATTGTATAACAAAGGACACCAATAATGTTTAAACACTAATTATAGGAAACGGTGAAGCGGCGTCAACAAGCGTTCAAAAAGACGGAGGAGGAAATCGAGGCGCGTCTGGCCGAGGAGGATGAGAGGGAAGAGCAACGTTACGAGGAGCAGTATAATAAACAACAGGAAAATCATACTGGTAATACAAGCTGCAAGGATACAGGTATGTTTCGAAATATAATAAAACTAATTGGTAAAATTGCATCATTAAGCGTAACTCCGTAACATCACTACCTTTAGTTGATGAAAAAGAAACGGTAAATAATCAAAGAGAAGCGTCTGAAACTTTATCGAGCGGCGGACAAAGTCCACAGCAACAAATAGCGCCGCCTGATACGGCAAAGACCAATACTCCATCAGGGTCAGCCGATTCCGAATCTAGCTCGTCCGAGTCGACGAGCTCTGACTCGAGTCGTAACTCGTCGAAGAAGAAAAGGTCGAGTAAAGCTCGAAGTGATCGTGAATATCGAAAGAGGAAGTCGAAGAGTAGAAGTAAATCGAGAAGCAGAAAATCACGGTCCCGTTCGTCGGAACGTGGCCGGAAACGCAAATCAAGGTCTAGATCGATAAAGTCACGTAAAGAATATCGTTCAAGGTCTTCGAGCAATTATAGGTCCACGAAGAAGCATAGATCGAGATCTAGAAACCGTAAACGGCGCAGATCTCGCTCGAGAAGTTGTCGCAGATCTAGATCGAGCACTGCGACCAGGAAATGGTCACGATCCCGTTCCAGGGGAAAGAGGAAGTCCCGTTCTCATTCGAGAAGCAGAAGAAGAAGTCGTTCCTATTCAACTAGGAGAAGTAAATCCCGTGTTAGAGACAAACGGAGGACGCGATCGCGATCCAGAGGCAGAGACAGATCACGTTCACGATCGAAAGGACGAAAACGTTCGCGGTCTTACGTTTCCAGGAGCAAGAGGAGGACTCGATCTAGATCTAGGGATCATAGAAAGTCACGATCAAGATCAAGGCAGTCGAATCACCGGGACGGTAAGAAATCGTCGACGCATCATCGGTACAGGAATTGAACCCTGAACCAAACTTCTAGCCAAGGTTGTATATACATAATATATATATTCATTAATTAAGTCACTTTTCAAATTGTTCGTACGCGGAATGAGTGTGAAGAAACGAAATACTATATACATTTTGTTCTTTATAGAAATATACAGAGAAAAAGTGAAAAAGAAACATTACCGGAAGCGCAGGTTTTCATTGTGATCGTCCATTTTTGAAATTCTCCATCGTGCGACCCTTTAGCGATACAGGTCTCGTTTCTTTCCAATTAGCGTTTATTCGAAGTATATGTATATATATACACATATTATGTATATATAACGGATTATCGTTAACTGTATAGTGGTCCACGGATCGTTTGTAATTAATTTCCAATCAATCGAGTCAAGATTTTTTTTTTATCTAGAATTATTTCTGTGTAGCTAATCTTCTTTCCTTTCCGTTTCCGTTTTTACTTTCCCGATGGCATTAATCGAATAACGATGTATCTGTTTTATACGAACGATTGTTAGCATGCATTTCGAACGATCGCGATAGAATAATTCAAATATCCGTCTGTGAGAGAGGAAGAATGTGTGCGCGAGTGACAGAGAGAGGGAGAGAAAGAACTGTGTCGAATGTCGATTAACTTTCCACAAAGAAAAAGTAAAGATACACCGAACCGTTGTTAAATCGTCGAAACGCTCGTGTAAGAGAACTGATCAGGTACAAATGAATTTTCATAACTTTGATCCGAGGATTGCCCGTGATCGAAACGCGTTTAGGAACCGTGACAGTTTGGTTTTTCCTTGTTTCTCAATCCGTCGTTTTCTTGTATCCCGGTCGATGTTCACTACAGTACAAACGAGAAGATACGAAACTGTTACAAACCCTAAAATCGCGACACACCAAAAAATACAAGCACACACCGACACGCAAACAATTCCGAGTATTTGTATAATTGGTTCAGTTTAACCGTGTATTGATATACGTTCGACATACGTTTGAAACAAAAAGAGAATAAAACGACCGATAATTTTAATGTATTGTAAGTACGGGCCTTACAAACACATTGCTATGATAAGTGTAACGAGTCATTTTTAAATGAAATAAATAAAAATATTGAAAAGAAATATACCAGAAACGATGGTGGAACGAAGTATTCTTCACCTTGGGTATAATTATTTTCTGTGTTCCCATTTGGATGAACGATTTGCGTTACATCACTACGTGTACAGAAGACAATAGAGAACGTCCGTTCTATTGCATTATTATAATTTATTTCATATAAACATTTGATACAGTTTTAAAATTTCATTTCGTAGAGCTTAGCTTTTTTTTAGTAGTAGTGTTATAAGTAATTAGATTCTATATAGAATATTATCGGAGATTAAAGTGGATGTAGAGTGGATCGAGGAAAGAGTCAAAGTTTTTGTTTGGCATGATATCGTGTTTCACTTCAATACATTTTTTCGATATATGTATATATTATATATATGTATAAAAAAAAAGAACATCTGCAGAACAGAATGCAACACGTTTCATTTAGAAAATAATAAAAAATGATTCGGTGGAATACAGATATCTGCGCAATGTCTCGGAAATTTTGTCTCTTTGAGCAACATCTTTCGAGTGGAAAAAAAAGTGTAATGTAAATTTGTGAACGAGGAGTATCTTAAATTTGAACGATAGATATGTAACGTTGTAATTTACAGCGAAATTTTCTTTGTATAAACATTCTTTTTTCTTCGTTTCTTTTATTCTGTGCTGAAAAATTTGAATAAAGAAGGCAGAATATTCTGCGAAAACGCTCCACATATCAAACTGGATGTAAAAAGGAAAAGGAAATCGAATCTAATAAAGTATTCCGAAGTCTGTTATAAATGTTGTTTTCCATTTTGCAAGATGATGTATACGTGTGAAATGATAATCAAATAATTTATTTACAAATATTTATAACTCCGAAGAATCCTGTAAAGTTTGTTTCAATTAAATATCATAAGAATGGATCGAATATTGATAAGTATCTTAAATTTTATTTCATTCTTCTCGATATGCACGACAATATTTATAGTTAGAAATGAAGAAATATTGGTCTAGCTGGTTCGATACGTTCTCCCGATCGAAGCAGGCACTCGGTGATATTATTTCTTTAATTATAATAAAACGCTCGTTGTGTTCGATGTAAAAAATAGGAAATAGTCGATGATAAAACGTTCAAACAACGATCCAATATCGAGATATGGGTCACGATTGAATTGCATGTTGTCTGCAGATACTGGTTGCTATAAAATTAAGGTACGGTATTTTGATCTATGTAGATAGCTAGAGGGAATTATCTATATCGACTAATCTTACCTATGCTCGTTAGAAGATACCTTACTTTTTAAATATACAGTAAATATACACGAACGCTTAAACTGTCGTAATATTCTCACTGGTATGATCAGAGGATCCGAGAGGGTCAACCCCTAAACTAATTCAGATATCGTTCTATTTAACCGTGTCATTTCATTTCAAACATCGAGTTAAATCTAGGTAAGTGTAACGAAAGCACCATTGCGTTATTTGTTGGCGTCGTGATTGCCCCACTGTTACAGAATTTAAAATCAATCGAATATGGACCCTTGATATTTAAAATATTCCACTGTTGCAAAAATAAATCTAAGAGGGATGTTTAAGGGTTGTTCGAGCTTAGTTTATAGATTGTCGGCGAGGGTGAGAACACCACTAGTGAGAATACTGTTACAATTTAAGCAGTATAGGTATCATTAATTCGCTTGATGTATGGACTAGACTCAATTACTTAGAATAGTAGATCTTCATACGATATTGCAAAGAAACGTAGTTTCAAGCTGTTACGATCGAAGATGTGAATTTACAGTGTCAGCTTCGAGACTCGTTATTAACATCGTCTCCACTTCCTGTGACTTCAATTTAAATTTACAACTTAATAACAAACAGATCACAAATTTAATTGAGCTGATTGATATGTATAGGTTTCGTCGAGTTTATTTTTTCATTTGTACTATCGGTTATCGACCAGATACCAATTTTTCCATATTGCAATTATTCGTCATCGAAGAATCACGTTAATAACCAATCTCGACGCGTCTTGAACTTCGTTCTATCGCAAAAAGCCGATCAGCGGACTGGATGTTTACAAAGAATCATAGCAAAATAGTTTCGTATATTGTATAACACTATAACGACATGAAGTAGGTAAAGTACAAGATAAATTGTAGATCAAGGTTCAAAGGACGCGAAGGGAGAAGAAATTCGTACGATTTGAAACGTTCCTACCAGCAAATAATACAATATACATATATCTTTATCTATACATATATATCTCTTTATGTATATATATATATATATTTATATCAAGATTGCAATAGAAAGAGGAACGATTATCGTTCTCTTCCTTTTCATTCTGATATGTATAATACGCAAAATAAATTCACGTTTATCTATTTTTCTTTTTTATCTCTACCTGGAGATTCGAAGCATTGAAATCACTCTGGTCTTCTCCGTAACACTTCGATGTTACAGGAAGTGAATCGGAACTTCCGTTTCCAATCTTCTTCGAGGCTATTCTTCGCGCAGTCTTCTCCGTTCTCGGACAACGGACGATTAGAAAAACGTTCGCGAAATGAAAGTACGTCTAAAATTATGGAAGGCTCGTCTAGCTTTGCTAAACGTCGATCACGCGCACGGTACGTAAATAGCCGTATATAAATTAATTAAGTACAAAAATTACAAACTTATTAACAAAACATTGGCAAGACTGAGGTTCAGCCGAATCGAGAGTCCATCATTTTCTGCCATCGAGCAACAGACTCTCGTTGCAAACTTAACAGTACGGACGAATTAACGTAAATCAAGCGTACATACATAGGTCGTAGCAACGTTAACTGTAACGTTACAACGTTACACGGGAATACTCTTAACCGGTATTATCTGTATGATACAGTCACGCGTTTTGTGATGCGACCCGGTGAAATACCTGCGAACACGTTAACTTTTACAGAACTGGTTTCAAGGGCCCGGACAGAATAGACTCCTATTTGAAAAATCACCTTGATCACTAAAACGAAGCGAGGCTGAGGCGACGAAGAGACTATTGGTTGAGCAGGGTGTTAGTCACCTCAGAGATGGACAACAAAGGACTCCCGGCGTCCGGTTTGGTATCTGAGGGACAGTTGGGCCCATTGCCCCCGCTGATGATCCCACCACGTGCTGATGCTGCGGGTGGTGGTGCGGAGGGTGGTACAAGACGTTGCTGTTGCTGGTGTTGTTGTCGATGCCCATGCCGACTCCCGTCCCCGTTCCCACAGCTGACGGGGGTGTGCTGCAACCGAAAGTTATTTTACCCGTTATTCGAAACCCCTTTCGTCTTCAAACCCTGTCCTTACGGTTCTCTTATTCGACTCCAGTCTTCAATGTACAGCATTCTTGGAACATTATTCGAACTTCAAAACAAAAAGAGGAAAAGAAACTAGTACTTTGAAGAATGAACATGTGGACATGCAACGTATGGTTATGATTGCAAACAATTTGTGCGTCGCTGGTAACATGCATGCCCAACAGTATAATACTTGTCCCGCTAGTATCTCAATTTTAAAATCATCGTTTCTTCTTATGTTCTTGAGTTTGTTCTTTGCGTGGACAACCGGGTATCCACCAAAGTTTTAAATATTTGGAAAAATGAACGTAGAATTCATACCCGATTGCCGATACAACCTTCCAGGATACTACATGGGAGGCAAAGTAAAGTGCCCGCTAACTCAAATACTAAACTCCCTGCCTTCCAAGCTACAGGAAGGCTACAGGACTCCTGCCTCTTCTGTTGCTGCAAAAATAACGCGGACATCCTGGAAGGGCTAGATTCAAACCCAAGATCCATCTCGACATCTTCAATGGAAGAATTAAAATCTGTGAGGCGGCAGTGACACTCACTGGGGCGCGTGCCTTGGTGGTGCGGGGTGGTGATGGTGGTAGGGATAGTACTGGTAGTGGTGGTGGTGTTGCACTCCTTGCCATACCTCGGAGCCCGCTTCCCCGTGGCCATGGCCCGGATGAGAGTGCGTGTATCCGATAGTGCTGGCTG